TGGTTTATTTTTGTGTCTTTTTATTTTTTTTTATTTTTGAATTACATAGTTATTTTTTATATATTTTCATTTTTTATTTAAATTTGTTTTGTTTTTTTTCATTTAAGTTTGTGATATTTTTTTTTTTGGTTTTTAAGATTGGTACACGAAGAATTTAAACATTTTAAAAATACAAATTTGATTGTCAGATTTATTTTTTTTTTCTTTCGATTTATTTTCATTATTTTTCTTTTATAATTTAAAATAAATTATTTATTTAGAGAAAGAAGAAAATTAAAAAAAAGTATAGAATACACGATTTTTGCATTTAATAATTTTAATAATTATTAATGAGAATTAAAGAGAAAAATTTAAAAAAAAAATTTGTTAAATTTAATTTTATATAAATCGATGCCTTTTATATATTTTCTTTTTGCTGATGCAGATGAATGATCGGATGATTTTATTATAGAAAAAAATTAACTTAAATTGAATGCTTATAAATTGCTTAAATATACATAAGAATTTGAATTAAAAATAAAAAATAATATTATTTACAATTTCACATATAATAATAATAATAATGAATATAAAATATTTTTAAATTTTTATTATTAAAAATAAAGAATTTATTTTTTACATTTGCACTTTAAATGTTTTTTTTTTCATGTTATACTTTTGCTTAAGCCTAAATAAGCTTCTTAAAATTTTTTTTTTTATATTTAAAATTTTTTAAAAATGACATCTTATTTTCCTTTATGTATATGCATATATTTATTAATTATAAATATAAAGATTATGACGATACTATAACATTTTAAAAATCATTTACATTATAATGAACAAAAATAAATATTACAAATTGTTATTTGAATTTAATTCAGAGAAGTGAATCACTATTTTAGTGATAGTGATATTTAAATATCATATTTTTTATTAAAAATCACTATCAATTGGCGACTCACTTTTAAAAATAAACATTATTTTTGTAATTAATAATTAAATTTATGGTTATTATTTTAATTCCAAATTAAAATTCAAATTATCTAATGTTTTTTTTAAATTATGTATTTTATGTAAAAGAATATTATTTCTATAATTACGATAAAAAACAAAATACAATAAATAATTATGTAAATGATTTTAGCATTTTAAAAATTTTGTATCCTACTATTCATTTAAAATTTCTTCATTTCAGTCCAATTTTCATTTTCAAAAACAATATTTCGAATTTTTATTACTTAATTACAATTAATTTAATAATTATTATTTATATAATATTTATATTGTTTCTATATATATATATATATATATAATTTTATTTTACTTATTGTAATTAAATTTAGTTATCGATTACAATATTTAAATTTAATTTTTAAAATTAATTTTTTTGTCTTTTTCTTTTTTTTTTAATATATTTTTCTTTTTTGTTGTCTATTTTCTTTACGTTTCAATTCGAAAAGTGCGTTGCGTTTCTTATATTCATACTTTTCTTATATATAAATATATATATATATACAAGTTCTATACAGATTTTTAATATAAAAATAAAATTTATATTTTATTAAACAAATATTTTTATTATATATTATGTTATTTATATTATATAGAAAGTGTAAAATGTGTAATTTTCTAAATTATAAAATAAACGAAATGGAAAAAAAAAAAATAAATAAAAATTATGAATTAAAATAAATTAATGAAATTATTAAGTAGATCTTGAATTAAAAATAAATTAAACTATTATGGTATGATAAAATGATATAGTATGACTATTTTATGAAAATGAATTTGAAAAATTTATAAAAAAATTCTAATATTATCGCTACTATGAAAAAATTGATGTTTTTAATTCTATTGCTCATATAATTTCAATATGTATTATAAATTATTTACCATTTTTGTTGAATTTGTATTAGAAATTTTAGAATTTCTTAAGCCAACATTTCAATATTATTAGAAAATTAAAAATTTTATGATTTTGCTCAAACTTCTAGGTATTTTCAAAACATAATACTAGATTTTATATTTTAAGGTTCTATTTATATTAAAAACAAATTGAATTTAAATTGAAAATTGAGTTTTAAAAGTAGAAATTTAAAATTAGCATTTAAAATATTAGATTTTGTTATTAAGTAAGTACTATAGTGTATAAGGTTTCACAATATTACATAGTCAGATTTTATTGGAACTCAATAAAATAAATTAGATATTGGTTTTTGTATTTATGATTTTGAAAATTATTTCATTCTTTGAATTTAATAAATTTTTTAAGTAATAAATTATTTAAGAATAAAATCTTACATATTTTCATTCCATATATATATATGGAAATGGTGTGTCTATTGTCTCTTTAAATTGCTTTAATTAGGGAAATAATTCTATAAATATTAATAATAATATAATTAACAAAAAAAAAAAAAAAAGAAAATAAAACAACATAAATTTTTTAGTTTTTTTCAAATCATTAATATTATTGTATATATATTGTAGTTTTCTTGTACTGATCACAAAACGAAAAAAAAAATAATAGTAATAATAATAAAATTTATTAAATAATTTATTAAATAATTTATTAATAATAAAATTACTAAAGATTTATTTAAAAAAAAAAATTCATTTTAATAGTATAATAATAGTGAAATAATAATTATCATATAAAAATTCATTTTGTATTCATTTTGTATTTAGATTTTTCATTGAGATTCTTAATATAGATTATTTAAAATATGTTTTTAATTAAAAGAATTCGATTTTATTTAATTTTTTTTTGTGTGTTTTTTAATACAAAAATATACAATTAAAGTAATTTAGGTTTCCAAAAAACAAAAATTATAATAACAAATCACAATAACAATGTAAGAAATTAGAAAATCAATTGAATTTTTTTGTTTTTATTGTTTTTAGAAATAGTATAACATAGCTATTAATGTAGTATGTATTATTTAAATTCATTTATATTAATTTTATTTTTTTAAATTGTATCTAAATAATTATTATATATACATTTAAGTTTTTTTGTAGTACTATTTTATGTGTTAATATTTTTGAAACAAAATTAATTGAAAATTTTGACTAGGTTTTAAATAATAATATACAAATATAAAATATTATTTAAATTCTATTTGTGTATACGGTCGAACACTTTATTTATTTATACAATTTAACAATTAATATTGGTTATCACAAAAAAAAACAAAAATATTGTGCGTACCTATGTATTGTAAATTGTAAATTGTATCTCAAGTGTTCGTAAAATAGATAAAATTTTATTTAATAATTTGTTGCATTTCCTAATTTTATTCGGTTATTATAAATGCAAATTAAAACTTTTATAAAATGAAATAATTAATAGTGTTTTTAATTAAAGACATTTTAAAATTAAATAAAATATGAAATTTTAAGAGAATTATAATTCATATATTAAGTAAAATGTAAGATTTTTTGGGGGGGTTTTTATTTCAATTATAGGAGTATTTTAAAATTTAATTTAATCAATATTATTATTTTTTTTTTTAATATTAAACAGATATTAAATATTATTATAAATAATTTGATTTTAAGAGAACATAATTACTGTTATAGAAAAATTTTTATATTACTAAAATATTTTAGGAGAAAATTTGTTTTTTTAATATAATATAAACATTATATTGAAAATTTTTTCAAAATACATAATAAATAAATAATATATAATTAATTTTAATTTATGTTACAATATAAATTATTTAAATTTTGAAAATATTTCTACGTAAGTCTTTAAAATATATTTTTAATTTATTTTTAATATAATTTATATTAAATTTTATTTTAATTATAATATTATTTGATTGAATGAATATTTTATTATTGGAAATTGTTAAATTTTTTATGGAAAAGGAATTAGTAAAAATTATTTAAAAATTACTTATTTAAAAAATAATTTTAATTACTTTTATTAATATCAAGAGGAAATAAAATATTCATTTAAAATATGAATTTAAAATAATATTAAAGTAAAAGAGATTATTATGGAATAATAATGACTTTCATTACATTTAAGATTAAATGTGAATGTCATATTGTATACGCATATATTTTATAATATGCATTCGAGATTAATTATAAAAATTTAATTAATATAATATTACATTTAATTAAATATTTAAATATCAAATATTTTAAGAGATATACAAATATTAGAAAAATATTTAAGGACAAAATTATTATGTTATGTAAGTAATTTAAAAAAAATTTTTAGTTTTAATTTTTTCAAATTTGTTTATAATATTTTTTGTAAGAAATAAATTTAAAATAAAAGATATAAGTGTGGAAAAAAATTAAGAATTTAATAAAATTTTTAATATAATTTTAAATTTAATTTAATTTTTTTTTGTATAATGTTGTTTATAAATAGATTTTCAAATTGAATTTTAAATTTAATTATTAAATATTATTTCAACAATTTTAATACATTTTTTATATTTATTAATTTTTTTTTTTGTTGCTTTTTTTTCTATAATTTATTTGTCATATACATTTAGATTTTCTAACAAAACAGAAAAAGAAAGTTACTTATAATTTATTTTTAAGTTTTTTTTGTTTTTTTAATTTCATTGCTAATTCTATAATAAGATTTTTTAAATTTTATTTAGTTTTAGACTTAGTTCTTTATTTGATTCAAGTTTTAAACTAATTAGGCCAAATTGTTGATTTTTTATATTATATTATTCTCTTTTTTTTTGAATTTCTAAATAAAATACGTTTTTTGAATTAAATTTTTAAGTGTTAAAAGTAAGTTTTTTTAAGTTTATTCCATTTTTTTTTTCATTTTGTAAATATTAACAATTAAATTTAAATTCAAATATTCTTATTTAATTAAATTTTTTTTCTTTTGAGGTACGAAAATTTATTTTATTTTATGTTTGAAGTTTTGGTTTTTCTATTAACTTTAAAATGATTTCTTTAAATTTTTAAATTTTCATTTTTTTTTTTTTGTCTTCAAATCAATTAATTTTCTATTAATTAAATATTTATATGCATAGCTAATAAAATTACATTTTTATTTGAGAATCGTTCAAATACTGTTAAAATAATTTAATATTAAATTTCTACTAATTTTTTTATTTTTTTTTTTTTTTTAGTTGAATTTCTTAAATTGAAAATAATTTTAAATTAATTCATTTGCTATAATTTAAAAATTATGATTCCATTGTAAAAGAAGTTGAATTTGAAATTCTATTTCCAGTGGATTGTGAACCACCGATTGCTCCATTTCCTTCAGCTAATGCATCACTTGATAAAGCTGATGTTGCTGTTACAGGTCTATGAGTTGTTGTATGAAATAGTACCAAGAAACCGCTTGAAGAGCCACATGATCTTGATTCTAAGTCTTTTTCGAGAATATTCCGTGCCTAAAATTAAAATTTTATAATTATTATTAATATATTCGTTATTTTATATAAACTAAGAAGATAATCTTGTTATTACTTTTGCTTTATGTTCAGCTAAAGAATTTTTAACAAAATCATGTTGTTTTTGTAAATCTTCACATCTTTTATTATAGGCTTTTGTTAATCGTACTCTTTCTGCTACTCCCCTGTCTACCATTGTACTAGCAACTTCTCGTTTCATTCTATACAAAAAAAATTTTTAAATTTCAATTATTAATTGATAATAGAAAAAAAAAACTATATAATGAAAGTACATATAGAAATTTAAACAATAAACTACCTTTCTAATTCATCACGTGGCCTACGTTCAGCAGCTAAACTTTTAATATCATTACGTCTTGCTTCTTGTAATTGTTCCATAACTTCATGTGTTGCTTTATCTAATGATTGTTTTAATGTTTTCATTTGATTTGCTTGTGAATTTCGTAAAACTTTTTCAGCTGCCGAATAAATTACTTCATGATATTTCTCTTGTATTTCACGATATGCTGTCGAATATTCTTTACAAACTGCTAATAATCTTTCTGATTGACTACGGGTTATTCCGCCAGCGGAACTAGAACCACTTACATTTCTATCACCACTATCTTCACTACTTTCATTAATATCAGCTGGACATGGGGGTACCTCAGCTGTTACATCTCTGTAATATATGAATATTAAAATAGCGTATTAACGAAACGATATTCTAAAATTTTAATAAATTATACAATTAAACTTACAATGTTTTACTACTTAAGCGTTTAATAAATAAAAATTTCGATTTTTTACTTGAACTATCTGTTGGACTAGATTTTTGTGATGCTACTTTTAATTTTTCTTTATCATGTTTTTTTCTTAATGATTCCAATTTTTTTTCCATTTCTAAGCGTTTTTCTCGAATACTTTTGTGTTCGAAAATTTTCTCTAACGGTTCTGCTGTAATTTCTTGTAAATCTATTGATACCGTTGTCTCTAATTGTTTTATTGCTATTGATGATGTTTGTTCCAATGATGGTTGACTAATTAATGGAACTGATGTTGATACAGGTTGTATTAAATGTTCTTGTTCTGAATCACCTGTATGACCATCTGATTGTATTTCAACAGATGTTATACTTGTTTCTGGTATACTAGGACGTTTTGGACTACCAGAAATTGTTTCTTGTGTCTTTAATTTTTTTTCTACTTGATTTGTACCTATAATATAAAATAAAATTTTAGAATAAATTTTAAATTTTTTTTTTTCTATTAAATACTTTGATATGGTCCTTCATCAGCGATTGGTTCAGTATCCTCTGTAAGAACAGCTAATTGTTTATCACGTTTTTCTAATTCACTTTGATATTTTATTGGATTTGCGAGTGCATCAGCAAAATCAGAAAGACCATCAGGAACATAATCCTTAACAATAATACATAAAAATAATGATGCAAGTGTTAAAGGTTGCCCAACTTCATTACGTAGTGTAACATGACGATACCCTGGACATAAACCAATAACAGGTAATACACGATGACCAATAAATTTACCATTTTCTTCATATGCAGCTATTCGAATACTAGCAAGTTCTGGTAGCACAACCTTATATAAAAATAAAAAATTAATTTAATCTCATTTATTTTTTAGCTTCATAATTTTTTTATTACCTTCTTGAATACGAATGGTTCCTCATCAAAAAGTGGATTTATACCATTTTCTTTAACAATTTTTGTACGAAATTTTTTTCTAACTGTATCAGCTGGTAAACCAAACATATCAACTTCAACATAAGTACCAACTTTTTTATCACTTAAAAATTGCCCAGATAAAACAGTGATTGATACTGTGCCAGCAATAATACCATCGACCTAAAGGTAAATAAAAAAAAAACCAAGAATATTAAAAAAAATTTGAAAACTTTTTGTTTTAAAAATTCAATTAATTTTTTTTTTTTTCGTATTCTATACACATTTATAAACATACCGTACTTTCAGCAAATGGATCTAATCTTCTATCTGTACGTCTCATAAATTCAGGTTTTAATAAATATCCACATCTTTCGTTGTATTCAAAAATTCCAAGATTTAATTGCATTGCCAAATCTAATGTTTGAAAATTCAATGCCACCAACTGACAACCGGCATTCCAAAATAGCTATTGCACAAAAAAAAAAATACACGGTACATTATACAAGGAGAAAAATAAAGAAAATGAATTTTTTTTTGGAAAATTATTTTACTAAAAGCAATTTCACTAGTTTTCAGAAATGCTATTTAATTTTCTCTGTTCTTTTGTTCTCTATTTATACAATTTTTATAACAAAGGATATGAAATATCCTTTTATTACAATTGCAGTTGGTTATCATTTTTAAATATTTTGCTTTTGTTAAAAATTTTATGCTCGTAAAAAATAAAAATAAAATGAAAAAATTTTTTAAAGTTAAAATTTCATTATTAAATGAAAAACGATTTTAGATCGTGTAAAAACGATAATTTTAGGGAATAACAACAAAAATTTTCTACATAGACTACAATTTTCATAAAGAGTAAGTTAAAATATATGTATGTATATGTATGGAATGAAAAGTTCAAATTTTAATTGTAGACTAGCAAGATAGCAATTTGAAAATAATAATATTGTTGATCACATTGACCCTAAAGCAATATTATTGCATAGACAGGTGTCTTTTGTGGACCATGTCTTAACAACAGTTTAGGTTTTCCAGGTTATTATAGAGTCAGTAATATAGTTGTCATTTATTTCAAATTGAAGAAAAAATGCTATACATACATATATGTAGATTCTCATAATTAAATTCATATTTGAAAATTAAAGACTAAAAATTCATCACTTTTGAACAAATTATTAAATTAAATTGAAAGTTTAAATAAATTTTCATTCAATAATTAATTTCAAATATTGAGAAATTTAAAAATTTCTGTAGAATAATAAAAATTTTAGCATTGTATAATATAGAGAAATAAAAACGTGAGAAAACAAAAATAAACAATCCGAAAAATTCTTCGACAGCGTTTATGCATCAAAAATTATTCATTAATTTTGTTTGACGTTGTTTAACAAACAAAACTCAAGCTCTGTTTACACATTCAAACATTGGCTATCAATAACAAAAATTATGAAAACAGAAAACATTCTTATCAGGTACTACAGAAAATATTTTAGTTTCTAAAATTTATGATGAAAATATCATAAGAATTGGATGACATTGTATTCAATAAAATTTTATGTCAAAATAAAATTGAAAGATGTTCATAAATTTTTATAAATATAATCAAAATTTTCATCATATTAAAGTTAGTAAGTACATTAAGAATATTTTATGTGTTTACGAAGACTTCACAGAAAGCTCTTACAAAAATTTTAAATCAAATTTTTATTTAATTAAAAACTCTTACCTGTGGCATAAAATTTGAACTATCAAAACGTGTTCCAGCTGGATAAACACGTGACAATTGATGTTTATTATAATTAACAAATTCGATTGGCCGTTCTTTTAATAATGTAGTAGCTTGTTTTTCATCAAATGATGACATTTCATAATAACGACTTTTCTCTAAAAAGAAAAAAAAAAAAAACAAATATATGTATGTATGTATATATAAATTAATTAAATAATAAATTGAATATTATGAAGTGTGACTTTAAGAGAGTGAAAATAGTAAAAGTTGATGTTTTAATTTTTCGTTTTCAAGTTTTTGTTTTTTTTTTTCAATATAAGACTTTGTAATCTTTTAATTTATCTTCATTTATTATTCAATTATCTCAGTCTTATCAAATTTTCAAAATATACAAAAATTTTTTTTTTTTTTTATTCTTTGTGTATTAATTAATTTTTAATTACTATGCAAACTTTCCCTTCAATATCTTAATGAACATCATAATCAAATTTCAAATATTAAATTCATTTTCATTTTCATGAATATTCAAAACATAATTTTCTTTACTACCAAAATCATATGCATATACATATACATATGTACATATATATATATCTTATGTTATATGCAAGTGGTAGTTAGTTATATATGTATACATATATTAATAAAATTCTTTTATATGAAAAATTCATTTCCTTGCAAAATCTCTTATAATTTTCTTCTACTCTTTATTTCAAAAATATACAAAACAAAATAAGAAAAAAAAACTTTTTTATAAACTTTCATTTTATGAAATAATCAATTTTTTCAAAGTTATAAAAAAAAAAATAATTTAAAATTGAAAACTGAAATATTTTTTTTTTTTTTTTGTGTGATTTACTTACTTTCAGCATTTTCAAATGAACTAAAATGCACTGGTTGTACATAATTAACTAAAGCAGAAATTTCTGCACCAGCTTCTGTTTCTTTTTGTGATTTTTCTGATGGTGGTTCATTACCACTTGGCGGATTCATTGTACTATTTGGCATTGATTCTTCATCACTTGTACTATCTGTATCTGATGAACCAGTACTATCTTTTGAACTTTGACGAATTTGCTAAAAGAGAAAAAAGTGAAAACAAAAATATGAAAATGAATAAATGTTTAATATTTTTTTCTCATTTTTTTTTTATAATTACAGTTTTAATTAACGATTCAATGATTTTATATTGAAATTTTAATTAAGTGGTGTTTGGAATATAAAATTGATTAGAATATTAATATACTAAAACGTTATTCATATTTTCTATGGGTTAGAAGAATTTGAAAAAAAAATTATTACTATGACTTTTAATAATAATTATAATCGCGATCGTTTTGAATGCCGAATTTCGTACTTTCGATATTCAAAAAATTCGCAAATAAAGATTTTAAAAACTTAAAATCGCAGAGCAACAGTGCACCACGACCACATATAAGGATCTATTGTGCGTCCCCCCCCCGAGTGCTGGCCAGCACCTCCCCCCTCCTGTGAGCAAGAGCATCACACTGCCCCAGCAAGACTTCTACAGCACTCCGACCGTCTTATTTCTGATTTCTTCCTTAATTCCCAACGAATAGTATATGGTCCGATTCCGCAGAAGGGCTCCGGCCCAAGAAGATTTCCTTCCTCGCCCATATGCGGTCTCATTTTCTTCCTCGCCCACATGGCTCGGTGTCCAACACAGTGTTCTCAAGACAGCCCCATACTGCCGCAGAGGATATTGCCCGGCTATCGGACGTAATCTTTATCATTTGTCCCCGATACCTCCTTTCCAGGCTAAACCGCATGCACAATTCAATGGCGTGCAACTCGGCCTGAAACACACTCGCAAAAGTTCCCATAGGTTCGGAAAATTTGGTTCTTGGCCCAAACACCCTCCCATCCGTCCCCATACTAGTTTTTGACCCATCTGCGTACCATCTGATAACGTGTGTTCTCACTGGGCGACCTAAAAAGTAATGCTCCCAGTCCCTCCAGTTACTCAGCAACAAGGCAAAATTTTTCTCGAAGCTGTGTCTCCTTACCATGTTGTCCCTAGGCATCTATAGGAGCGGAACCTCCCTGACAAGACGACCTCGATCCCTCACTCCGATCATTCCAACTCCATTTCTCCCCAACCTGAAAATGGCAGCCTTCGTTACCATCTCTACAACGAGGTGCAAAGGGGTTTGTCCCAAAATCAACTCCATTGCCGCCGTCTGACAATTTTTCATATACCCTGTGATGCAGACGCATGCGAGTCTCTGCAATCGTTCCAGGCTCTTTCTAGCCGTACTAAGTGCCACCTTTCTTTCCCATGCCATTGCTTCATAAGTCAGAAGCGGCGCGACCATCGTGGTATACATCCACAACATGAAAGACCGCAAACCATAAGTGCCCGGGTTGTCCGTGTACATACACCTTCTTCGTGACTTCGCCAAAGAAGCTTGGAATCAAATACCACTCCCAGATATTTGACCTCCGATTTTCTCTTTACAGCCGCTCCGCTCCGCGCACGTGAATTATGCATAGATGCTTCAGCTTTCTTCTCCTAGTAAAAGGCACCAGGGTTGTCTTGTTAAGGTTAAGCCTGGTAGATGATCCTAACATGTCATAAATATATTCTTCGTATGACGTATACGCGTTTTTGAAAATGATTTTAGTTTAGAAGTACGTACGTAAAGAGATGATATTAGATATAAGTAGGTTTTGGCTGTTGTTGTTGTAGTGATTTCGGGACTGTTAATTTCAACAAACAAGTATAATATTTTTCCGCGAATGGACCTTTTTATATCATAAAATAAATATAATTTAATTTTCATAAAATATATTAGTTTAATAAAAAGTTATTGAGGAACTAAAAATAAAAGAAAAAAATTTAATTCTATTAAAATTTATTGCATAACTACTCGTACATTATGTATAAAACTTATTAAAATTTTCAAATCTTTTAGTCTTCTTAAAATTATGTACTTCGTATGTAGATGAGTAAGTCTATATACCGACATAAATGTATTGTACCCACTTATATATATAATTTGCGGAGCACACGTCTTTAATCTACGTTTAAGGTATAAAAAAGTTTTTTAATTAATTTTAAAGAAAAGTAAAAAAAAAATAAAGTTGCAAACACAAATTAAAAACAAAATGAAGAAAAAAATTCTCGCTAAAAATTAGTAAATAAAAAAAAATTACTTTTTGGCTCTTTTATAATTTAGAAAATATGATTTATCAAAAGTTTTCATAATCTGGAGGGAATAAATACGTTCCTTGTTTGGTTTTTGCTTTTTTTTTGTTGTGTTAAAACTTTTAAGTCAATTTTCTTAAATATTTTTATTTATTATGTTGAAGTTTAAGTTTAGGAAAATTAATTTTAGTTAATATGTTAGAAAATTTTAATAATTTTTTAAGAGAAATAAATTTATGCGGTGAAATAATTAATTAAATTAATCTAAAATTTTGTATATTCTAATTAATATCAACAGTTATTAAAAGAAAAAATAATTTTCAAAACTAAATTATTATTGCACTCATACGTTCATGCCGCTTTGTTTTAATATGAAAGAAATAATAGTTTCGACTTCATTAATGTAATTAAAATTCACAGATTCGAGAGTGTGAATTACATTAAAATTCACACATTCTCGAATTAATTACACCTCTTAAACGAAATTTTAAATTTATCAAAAAGGGTCGCCTCTGTATATAAATTCCTAAAATATGACGTTTAAAATACACTACCTGTGCGCGTCACTGTTTGCTTGTAAGGAGAATCCGCCTACAATTTGACTCTAAGTAGGTATAATATATAAGCACTTCAAAAACTTAGACTAGTTAACTCATTTATACATTTAATTACAGTTTCTACTTAATAACTGCATGATAAGCCTGAACTGGCAATTGGTTTGTGATAAGGTACATATACTTCATTAATATAGTTATCTTCATTTGCGAATCAACATTAATCCTTTATTGGGAAAAAGTGTTTAAAACGTATTATATACAGTAGTTTACCAAAAATAAAAATACCTGAAATTAATAGACTATTACAGCAACTGATAAGTAATGACCCGACTTTAAGAGATTCACATAGCTCAATATGTAGAAAAATTAAGAAAATGGCTAAGATAAGAGAAAATTCTACAACGACATAGCAAGTGATGCCCAAATAGCCGCAGAACAGAATAATGCTCGACTGCTACATAGAAAAATAGATATTCTCTCAAACAAGAATCACCAAAAACTAAGACCTATAAAGGATAAGAACGGCAGTCTACTCACATCAACCCAAGAACAGCTGAGAAGATGGAAGAATTACTTTGCAGAAACCAACACACATGCCCAAAATACAGAACTCGAAGACCAAGAGCCAAATATTAGAGAAGATCCTACCATTGAAAGAGAGGCACCAACCATAAGAGAAATAGTGGAGGTAATCAGAAAGCTGAAACTCAATAGAAGAGAGGAAACTGACAGTATTCCGGCAGAGCTGTTTAAAGCAGGAGAAATTACAGCAGCCAACGCACTGAAGCCAATTATAGAAAAGATATGGCAAGAAGAAGAAATCTCTGGTGATTGGAAAAGAGGAGTAATAATTAAACTATCTAAAAAGGGCGACTTATCTGAATGCCGAAATTGGAGAGGCATAACAGTGCTAAATAATGTAACAAAAATAATAGCCCTAATAGTACATGCCAGGATTGTGGATAAATTAGAAAAGAATTTAAGAAAGGAACAAGCGGGCTTTCGCCAGAACTGGAGCTGTACCGAACACACAAACACTATAAGACTAATTATCGAGCAATCAGCAGAATGGAACAGTCCTCTGTACGCAGCTTTCGTCGACTTCGAACGTGCCTTCGACACGATCAGGCGAGACGCAATCTGGGTTGCGCTTAAGAAAAATAGAATCCCTACCAAACTAATAAAACTAATTAAGGCGCTTTACAACGATGCCGAATCAGTTGTGCTACACAATGGCAAGATCAGTTCCCCAATCAGAACAACAGTTGGTGTCAGACAAGGATGCCCGCTATCTCCATTGCTGTTCGTCACAGTACTAGATAAATGTATAACGGAAACAACATCACTACGAAAGGGAATCAGCTGGCAGCTCACACATAAATTACAAAGCCTGGAATATGCCGACGACATCGTTCTACTGGCTCACTCGGCCGAAGATATGCAGCACATCATAAACAAATTGGTTGAAAGAACAGAAATAATTGGTTTCAAAATAAACAACAATAAACAGGTGCGCATTTAGAAGGCTATGGGCAACCTAGAAGTCAACTCAAATAGCACGCGGAATCAAAATAAGAATATTCAACGCATGTGTTAAATCAGTGCTGCTTTATGGAAGTGAGACATGGTTGGTGTCCAAAGCTAACATGCAAAAAATACAGGTCTTCGTTAACAAATGCCTCAAAATCATATGTAGAATATTCTGGCCAAGAAGAATTATGAATCAAGAACTATGGCTGATGACAAAATAAGAGCCAATAGAGACACAAATTAGAAAGAAAAAATGGAGATGGATTGGCCACATTCTAAGACGCCCAATAACATCGGTTACATGTCAAGCTCTGGAATGGGGGCCCCAAGGTCGAAGAAATGTGGGAAGACCAAAAGAGACTTGGGAAAGAAGTGTGCACAAAGAAATAGAACAAACAGGCAAAACATGGGCACAAATAAAGAGACTGGTACAAAACAGAGATAACTGGAGAGACTATGTTGAAGCCCTATGTTCCCTAGGGGAATAACAAGGATATTAAAAAAAAAAAAAAATAGACTATTGCACCGCGAAAAGACACAAACAAAATTGACCCAGTTGAAACTTTTTAGCAAATTTTGAAAAGGATCACAACCTGATTTAATGAAAATTTCTGCAAAACATTTAAACAGTTTACAAGAGACCCGACAAATAGCAGAGAAATATAACATAGAACAGTTTGTAAATTCATCAACAAAAAGTCTATGAAAGGCTGCTCCCAGTAAAAGTTGGAGAAAATAAAATTAATGAGCAAAATGGGGTGTGTATAAATGGGGTGTGTATAAATTATTTATTGGTGAACGTTCAATTAATATAAATAGTAAAAAGTGAAATTTAAAAGCATCGTTTTGCAAAACGTAAAGCATACCTAAAATTTAGGTATCACCAAGCAACAAACGACGAGAATAAAATATGACATGCAGTAAATAAATTTTGCAGTGAATAATAACGGCATCAGATAAGTGGTGAAGTTTAAATGTCGCGGCGCTTTAATAATATCATCGAAAGACCTGAGCAAAGAAGTTAAAATACAATTTGCTAAAGCCGCCTTCATATCAGGATATCTGGAAGATATTATCTGGAAGAATAATTCTATAAGAATCGACAGTGAAATCCTAGTATACAAGACTTGTGTGAGACCAATTCTAATCTACGACATAGAAATGAGGGCAAATACTATAGCAAGACACAGAATAAAGTGCATGTCGTAGAAATATTAAGTTACGCAGTCTTTATCTATACCGAAAATATTTTTAAACATAAAATTACTCCATTATCATCAGTTATTTTAAATGATTACTTTATAGACCTGTCTTGTATAACTTTCAACATGACAAATTTATTTAAGAAAACATCAACAATTTCTACCTTCAAATTTTTTTTTTTTTAAATTGCCGATTTGTTTTTGATAGTTTTTCAATTTTATTTATTTTTTACTTAAAATTGCAGACGAAAAAATTATTTTTTTTATTAAAATAATCTTCTTGTGTTATGTCAACCACAATCAAGTTTATATTACCTATCCTACCGAAATACATAAAATGTTTTTTAAAAGTACATTTTATATTATGCACAATCAACCACACTCATTGAACTCTATACAATTGACTATAAGAACTATTTATAATATTTTCTTTTAAAATACCATTATTATACAGAATAATTTTTATTCTTGTATACACACATTATTATTTGAATTCCCTGAATCCCATTTAAACTCTATTCTGACACCAAATCGGAATTCATTTTTTTTTTCTTTTTCTATATCTATATATGTATATATGTATATGTAAATCCTTAACTTATTTATATAGGATTTTACAATACCAAATATAAATTTATTTTTAAGTTTAATATACTTATATTTTCTGTCCTAAACGCTTATTATATGACTATGTCTATTTGTATAAAACTCATATACTTATGTATATATATAAGTTAACATGACATTTCTATAACAATTTTCATTTTTCTTTTGTTATATAATAAAGTTTTTTTTGTATATATACATATATATTTATAAAAATAAATTACATATGTGTTTAAAACTCACCTGTAGAGATGGCGGATGATTCACAATATCACCATTTCCAGTTATTGTTCCAGCAAGTTGTACACCAGGTTGAAAATTTCCTAATTCATCTTGTTGTATTGGAATACCACCAGCGCCTCCTACTTGTTGCTGCCTTCCAGCATCAACTATATCAAAAAATCGAAAAAAAAAAGCAGTGTTATATTTATATAGAATTTATATGAGAGAGAGAGAGAGAGAGAGAGAGGGAGAGAGGAAAAAGGAAAAAGAGAATTTTTTTTTTTATTTATTGAGTTTGTTGGTATCATCAAAGCATAATTTTTATATTTTTATTTTCTTCTTTTGTTTTCTCAATTTTCTTGCTATTTTTATAATATAAAGAGAAACCCTATATTATAGTCCTCTTATTCGTTGCATTGTCAATTTTATACTTTGCTTTTATACAGCTAAGATAACACAGAACAAAACAAAAAATTATTGGATTCAATTATTCATTTGATACAGCCATGTATGAAAGTAGAAAGAAAGTACAAAAAAAATTTGAGAAAACTTCTGTCATTTTTCGTTTCATTCTTATATACAAAAAATTTTCCATTTCTATTTCAATATTATTCTTATATAAATACACCTATATATGTATATTATATAAATGATATATATAACTAATTTAATGATTTTCATATTCAAAAGAGTAACCAACCGCACATTGGAAAAATGAAAGAAAAACAAACCCAAACCAAAAGAAATATGTGAAGATTTAAAAAAAAAAAAAAACAAAAAATTATCCTTGCTGTTCATATGATATGGCAAGGATTTAAAAATGTGCGGTTGAATAGATGATCCATATACACACATTTATACAAATTGTCCTTGGATATATGCCGGGATTTAAATGTACTTATCAGGTTATGGTTTTTTTTTTTTGTTTTTTGCAATTTATATTTGGAATCAAATATGAAAAAATTATTTGAAAAAGAAATTTTATATTTTTGCTCTTTAACATTTCGGTAAAATTAAGGATTATTGTTTTTTTTGTGAAATAACATATTTATTCTTTTGTCTGGTATTATTTAGATAAAAGTTTGTATATAAAAAGAAAAATAAGGTTAAATGTGGATATTGAATGCATGTCCAAAAGTATGTTTGAATGTAGAGTTGGTTAAATAAACTTTTAAGAGAGTAGTTTGAAAATTTAACATTTTTTTTTTTGCTTACATATGAAAATGGTTAAAATTGAATAGGTTAAATTTTGATTGTACTCAAGTAGAAAAATTTATCGGGGGCTCCTCTTTTTTTTTATTGATTTGAAATTTTTGCAATTAGATTTGAAATGTTTTTTAAATATATAGAATTTAATTGCAATGAGATTAAATTGAATGGTATTTTATGGTTAAAAACTTTTAATTTTCGAAATATAAATTTGAATTTTTGCAAAATTGACGGGTAATTTGATTAATTTCGAGAATAAATGTGATGTATAGATAATTGGAATTAATTCAAAATTTTAGCAAAATTAATTTTAATGAAAAAAAATACATGAATTTCCTAGTTTATGAGCAATCATTGGTATATATATGTATAATTATACACAGAAAAAAAAGAGTAGAACATTTAGCTAAAACAATAGTATAAATCACCTAATGAAATGCTTGATTTTCAGCCTCCTAAACTATTTAGCTACATTGCCTAATTTAAATTAGCTGAATTTACTTTTTAATAATTAGGAAAATTACCAAAATAAATTTGCTGATTTATCTACAATACTAGCTAAAACACCTAAAAAATTAGGTGGATTAGAACTAAGCAAATAGTCGGTTCACCTAATCATTTAGTTGATTTATTTTAAAACCTTTTTAAAATTTAACTAAAGAAATAGGAATTTCACCTAAATAAGTAGTTAACAAATATTCTCAACAATAGATAATATACCTAATTATTTAGTTAGAAAATAGAAAATATAACTATTTTTTAGTTAATTATAATAGGGTTTTTATCTATTATATTAGAAAAAGTATCTAAACAAATTAGGCTCTTTTCTAAATTTATTTAGGTTTAATCCTGAAAATAAAAGAATGCTATAAATTAAAAATTAAGTTTTGCTTCATAAAAGAGTAATTTTATTTTGTTTAATATTTTTTTAGTTGTTTCACATTATTTTTAATGTAAAAAGAAAAGATTTCTGTCCATCTACAATAAATTGAAGTTTCCCATTGCTTTTTTGTTTCGGCCACGTATGTAAAATTTTACCATTTGTGGTTTCAAAATAGCATTTAATAGAATAGTGGTAGTATAATTTTTACAATCTATAAATCAAAAATAATAATTGTTATAGAACTTTTAAAAATTAGTCAAAATTTATTTTTCAAATTACCTTTGAATATCTTGTTATAAAATTGATAAAAGTTTAATGTTTTTCTGATCCTTCCTTTTTATAATTTTAAGTTTAAAAGATTCCCATTTCGAAAGAGTAACAAATTTTTCACTGAAAATGTTTTCTCGAAGTCAAATTCAATCTAAAATACATTTGAATATTTTTGGTTAGTTAAACAAAATAACTTGATTATATAAAAACTTACCAAAGAAGCTCCAAAATTTTGTTTTATAGAATAAGCCATTAATTAAAAATTTCATTCGAATATCCTACTATGTTTTCTGCATAAAAAGTTGTTGGTATTACTTTTAATACGATTTTCACTGTTATTATTTCTTGACTGTTTGAAATCTTGAAAATGTAAACTATGCTTGTTTACTATACGAATATTCACCATATACTAGCTTCTTTTCAAATACTTTAAAAATTAGAATACAAAAAAAGTAGCGGTATTTTGAATTTTTTTCTTGATAAAACAAGTGCTTTTTTCTAAATTCAGCTAATGTTTCCGATATTTCAACTAATGTTTTAGTTAATTCCTCTTTAAGTAAAATAATGTGGCCGAATTAACTGAAGTTATAGCTAAAATATCTAGAAAAGTAGTTATTGAAGAAGAAAAGTAGCGGTACTTTGGTTTTTTTTTTCTAAATAAAACATTTTGATCTTTTCATAACTCAACTAATGTTTTCGGTAGTTCAGCTAATGTTTTAGTCAATCTTTTGATATAAAATGAAATAGCTGAATCAACTAAAGTTGTAGTCAAAATATTTAAAAATGTAGTCATTGATTAGGAATTTACATAAAAACTGTAAACTTATTTTTTTGTTTTCTTTTCTAAAATAACTAAATGTTTAGATGAAATATCTAATTAAATTAGTTGAACTTTTTCAACTATTTATTTTAGATAATACATCTAAATGAATAGACAAATCACCTAATCTTTTTAATATTGCATTCAACTAATTCCAAATAGTTGAGCCAGCTAATAGTGAATTTTAAAACAACTAAAGGAGTTGTCAATACTTCTAATTGTTTATATAAAACACCTAATTTGAAACCAGCTAATTACGATTAGTTGAAAAATCTAATTCATTTTTTTCTGTGTAGAAAAATTTCAGGTTAATAAGCCTAAATTTATAAGAAAAAATATTTTGTTGAAAATTGTCTGGTAATCCTAAAATTTCAATAAATTTATTGTGAATTCTAGTAAAACTATTGTGAATTATTTTGAAATGATCGAATTCCATACAATGTTAGTTAAGATTCGAATACTACTTATCTCTATTGTTCATTTAACCAAATATATGTATTTGAACTATCATAGAGATGAATTGACCGAAAGAGAGACAAATGGATACGCAAGACTATATACCATTAGCTCAGTTTATTCTTAAGTGAACAGCTTAACAAACTAACAATAACTCACATTTTAATATCTGAGCAGCGGCAACTAAAATATAAAAACATTGGTCCTATGTCAGGCGGCAGTGAAATTATAATTTTATTAATTTCATTATTAAGAGCTTTTCTTTTTCCCCCAAAATACACACTACTTTGTATTTTCAAAAAAATAATAATAATTTTTAAGAAATTTTAAAAGCAAATAATTTTATTTTCAATTTAAACTACTTTAAAATTTAAAATACCTTTTAATTTTTCTTCTTCAAATAAATTTAACAATGACAATTTTCTTTTTTTTTTTTCTGTTTGCTTTCTTTAAATGCATCAATGAAGGCTTAAGGATGCAACTTTTGAGACAAATTTTCTTTTTTCGTCTTATATGAATTTTCACATTGCATTTTTTTTTTTTTTTTTTGGTTTTAAAAATTTTCTTTATTTCTTTGACTGTTTCTCTTCTCTTGAAAATGAGGCGAAAAAAAAAAAAATTGTATAGTTATTATAAATAGCTTGACAAGAGCTATCAAACCTAGTAACTGAACAAGTATAATGGTGAATGTATCATACTCTTACACACACAATACACTCTAAGTTAATAAAGAAAAAAAAAATGTATATATATATAAAAGAAAAACTGGGAATAAGGATAAAAATGATGGAAAATTATGCATGCATATGGCATGACAATGACGGGAATAATAATGGAAATAAATTTTCGAAAAGAGGATAAGAGCATCATATTATAAGGAAGAAAAAAATGAGAAGGAAAATATAAAAGGATTCAACTTTTTTTTTTTAGCATTTATGACAAAAATTTGTAGCTGTTATTAATAAAATTAAATTTAAATAATAATAAAAGTTAAAAAAATTTATGGTGGTTAGTCTTAAAGTTTTATAAGAGTTTAATATTAAGATTATAAGCTGTTATATTCTTATTTTCTTTTTAAAACATCTTCTGTATAGAAGTATATTGGTATAATATTTCGATAATGAGGAAATTTTGAACAGAATAAAAAAATATGTGTACAAGTTAAAGAAAATTATTGCTGACTAATAATAGAAGTTAATAGATAAGAATCTTTAAAATTTGTTACCTAAACGGAAATTTAGTACGAGGATTCGAGTTCATCAGAATATTAAAAGAATGCAAAAATTTTTTTAAATTACATTAGATAAGGAAATTGATCTATTCACTGGCTTTACTCTTAATTTATTTAATATTTAAAATTTTTCATAGATTCTGTTAATTTTATTTTATTAAATGCTTTCTTCGATTAAATTAATTTTAATTATGTATATATATCAGACGAATTGCTTAGGCTAAGCATGAATTATCATGCAAGTTAATAGCTCACTAAAGAGCAAAAACAATCATAATTTAAACGCGTAAAAGGCGACTATCGGATTGCCTAGAAAATTTGTTATAATTTAATGGAAGGAGAGAAGGATAGTGTAAAGACAGAGAGTTAGTAAGGGTTAGAGTTTATGTTAGTATGAGAGATACAAAAAAATTTCGACTTAGTTTTATGGAAGAACAAAGAGAGTATGAATGTTGGAGCGCCCTTACGAATACCAAGATCAAAAGAATTACAGTTAAAATTGGCGGTGATTTAGAGAAGATTGGCGGAAGAATTAGAGTGATGACGAACATTGAAAAGCTATACCGAACTCAATTTGCTCGAATTCTCGCTTCAAACGGCGAAGCAATATTCTCCGAAACAAGTTGATGAATAAATGCAAAACTATTAGAAGGGAAAAGAAAATATCCAAAAGTAAATGTTAATACTATCCGGCCTACAAAGACAACGACTACTCAAAATAGCAATAGTCGGATCAGAAAACTAAATCAAGCTGACCCCTAAAGATTATCGAAGTATCTTATCTATATGTATATCTATAAAGCAACGGATTAGAGACTTGATGCTTTTTTTATGCCTTACATTAAAAATGTCACAATTTTTTATTACATCATGCGCGTGTAATTATTTTTTGAACCAAATGTAAATTATTTTAATCGGCAATTGCAGTTGTTTTAGTTATTTTATGATATTGATTTTGTCAGTTGTAATTTAACAGTTAGGTGTTTATTTTTATAAGGTAAAGATGTTATAAAATTATTAAAATTATTTATTAACTGTCGGGTGTCGGACGTAAGATGGGCCGTACATTAAACATTTAATTCCGAACCTAACAAAGTAGGAGTGAGTAGCAATTCGGGTCTTAAATGAGATCACAAGAATTTCCAAAACTCTAAACTACTGTAAATTACCCAAAATAAAAAAAATATAAAGTTTCTAAGAAAATGTACGAATTATTATAATTTTATTCAAAGAAAACCATTTTTATTCACATTTTCTACTGTCTTTTCTTACACATATTATCTATTACAGCCGCACGTAAATCATGCAGCTATATATATGTATATGAAGTGATTCTTTTTCACCTGTTTTTATTTCATAAGTACACATTTATTCATAAAAACAAAGAAAACACATCATGATCATGACAATGCATAAATAAATAATGTATGAGAATAAAAGGACATAACATATGCAAATGTACTCAATATTACTATAGAAGCTTTAAAATCTTTGACAATTTTAAAGATAAAGATTCTTAGGAGTTATTATAGTTTAAATTCTATTGGAATATGTCAAAGATTCTTTACTTTTGTATAAAGACAATAAAAATGAAATATAAAAAAAAATTAATAGTTAAATTATACGATTGTACATATGCAAATATTTAAATTCAAAGATATTGTTTTTGAAGAAAATTCACGGTGTCACAATAAGTACGTGTCATAAAATGGAAATTTTTATGTATAATCTCATCTCTAAAAAGAAACTCACTAACTATTTTCTCAAAAAAACTAAAAACTATAATAAAGTCGATAAATATGTGAAACGATTTAAAAATGAAAATTGAGTTTGTGCGAATGAGCTTTGATGTATAGAACAAAATAACAGAATTATAGTTGAATTTAAAAGCTTGCTTATAATTCTTAAACTATTTATACGATATTGCGTACAGAGTGGATTATGTGAAATATTATTGTATATGCTTTTGATTGGGATGATTGGAAATATTAAACTGGCAGAATTTTTCTAGACTTACAGGTATTAAACTTTCTACTTGAGGTTAAACAATGAAAATTTTTTCATAAAATTGCAACAAATCACAAATTTTTTCTCCTCAATTCAAATTCGGACCAGGAATCACTATCACTTTCTGGTCGGAGACTGACTGAAGTTTCACCGCAATATGATATTAAAGTGGAAAATTTCAAGTCTATTCGGGCTCTTCAAAGCTTTTAATGAAAACCGTGTTAGTTATTAATCTGTTCAGTCGCTCGGAAGAAAATTTTTTTTCCTACTATTTTTCCCAAAAACATTATTAACATTGAAACTAGAACTTTGTTATGTATGGTTGATATTATTTTTTTTAAGGAAAATTCACTTCTTTCTGTACAAAATTTCATATAATCTATACGCTCATGCATCTATATGCATGTATATATACAATTCATATAATAATTATACATAATAATGAAAAAATTCACATACCTGAATTTGATGATTGTAATTTATTTTGTACTGCTTGTGGTGTAGATGTTGCAATTGCGGCACCAACATTTGTACTTCCTCCTCCTGCACCCGCTTTTTTATGATGATGATGATGATGGTGATGATGATGATGTTTTTTCTTATTTTTAATTATAATTTTTCTTCGTAATAATGCTGGCGGAGGTAAATCTGTATTTGATTCTAAAGGATGTGAATCTATTGGTTTATCTAATAGCATATCACCAAAAAGTTCACGACAATAGTTTGCTATTTTAGCCTAGCAATACATTATTATTTCACAAAAATGAAAATGAAAAAAAAAATAAAAATACAAAAATAAAATTACTACTTAAATTTTCTAGCATTTCAATATTTATAAAGGATTAAAATTGCGTGTGTATGTATGTGATAAGCATATGTTATTAAAAATATGTCAAAATATTAATGATAAATGTGAAAAATTAAAAATAAATGAAAATTTTCGTGGAAGTTATTAAAAATTTTGTGTTCTGCTTTTTGCCATCTCACAAATTTTTTTCACTAGCTACATTTCTAATTATAAGTAATAAGTTTCCATTAGTGAAAGTAACTACGTATATATGTTAACAAAAATTATTAGAAGAGTAGTACAAAATTTGTGATTGTTATCATTCTATAATAAAATTTCATTCCCGAAACTATGGCTTTTTAGATGTATTGAATTTGGGTAGATACGATAAATTCACACAAATTAAAATTCAGAAAAATAATTTACTAAATTACGGTCAAGCTCAAGGTTAAATTATGAGCTGACGAATACATTTCCGCCTGCTTTTCAGGCGAACATCCGTGCATTACATCTGTTAACTCGGGAGACATCTTCGCAGGAAATATACAAAAAAAAATCGACACTACCTTCTCAAATAGTCAGGCCATTCAAACAGAACACTCGCTACATGCCAAATCATGTTGAGGCTGGTTTATGATTGCCCGCTGGTGATAGTGGCGTTGGATAAGAATAATAAGGTTTTTAAATCCCAGGTTTCTGAAAACATTCGGCAATGAGGAATCAGATATTCTTACTAGAAATCGGGCAAGCATGAAATTTTTTTGGATCGAAATTTATCTAAGATCAACATGCTTTAGAAAGGGTTTTCAGGGAAATGGATGGCTGGCTCACTCGCTGTATTAGTTTTGAAACGGGTGCTTGAAGAGGAGGCAAGTAAGGCTTACATTTCACCACCACATGATCAAATTTAAGGAATTTTGATCATTTGTCTAGATTTTGCGAGAAGGGAGTGATGGCGAAATATATCGTGTGCAGGTATAAATTTACTGATCTTATGAAGTTATTTAAAGTGTGTGGAGCATCACAATAAGTCTTGATAGCTGCAGAAATCTGATCGACGGGCTGATTACCATTTCAATGCATGTATTTCCGGTTAAACGACCGATTCCCGATAAAACTGCTAACTTAAACTTTACGATTTCATCAACAATATTAAAAAGGTAAGAGAAATGGAGTCTAATAAATTCTTTTCTTCCTCGGTTTTCCTTTATTATTAAATATATCATCTAAGTATTATGTATATGAATCGAGGAAAAAACAGAAATTCAAGCAATTTTTATGATAAATTGTTTTTGTTATTATAAGGCCGCCAATTTTACACATAATCATTATATGCATACACGTATATAGTGCCTGTAGAACATAAAATGCAATTAATCATTTGAAAATGAAGGAAAAAACTATATTAAGGAAGTTTTGCAATAAAAAAAATCGAAACAAAAAATAGAAATAACGGGATGTTGCGGCGGTAAAAGTTTAATTTTTAGAAAATTGCCTAATAACTTTTCACTATAACCTTATTATTTATGAACATACGAGTATGTGTGTGTTAGGGTATATTTTCACACAACAAATTTGAAATAGGAACCACAAAATGTTTAATTTCCGATGTGCAAAATAGATTTTTTAAAAACTAATGCAAATTTTTTTTCCTATAACATATTGGCGTGTTAATAAGCGGCAATACGCATAATTTGGATTTTTATGTATGTATGTATAAGTGTGTATATAAGTGGACTTCTATATCAAGATATGAATGTATATATTTTCTAAAGTGCACCATGTACATGCTACTTAAATACTGAGTAATCATTATAAAAAATATTTGTCCCGATAAAATAGAATTTTTGAATAAAATTTTCCTGTGAAATTTTCGTTCTATACATGTTTTTTTTTTTTTAACGAGAAATTTGAATTTTTTTTATAAAACTTATTCGTAATATACCAACATTCCGCAAATCAAAATTCGTTTATAATCCATTAAAATAAAAAGATATCTAAGGGATTTCAAAAAGAACATGTATGTGATAAATTATTTGACGTTGATTCTGTGGAAGGCGACAACGCTCGAAAGTACAAAGAGAGACTTGGAGAAAGAGCAAAGTTAAGCGTGCGTGTGCATCACGGGTGCTATGAGAACCTGTCCAACGGAAGCAATGGAGGTCATTCTCGACTTGTCGCCGCTACATCTGGTCGTCGAAAGTGCGGCAAGGGCAACTATCCTGCGGTTGGGTGGAAGAACACGAGTTCTATTATTGGGTCAAAGGATCGAGATACCCTCTCCAGGACGGTTCCACAATTGTGCTTGCCGACGGATGATGTGACAACGAAATACAGCTTTGAGAAAAGCTTCACTTCTAAGCTGGGCCACAAAAAGAGTTGGAGGGGGGAGCTGATTTACTGCCCGATGGCAAGCCATATCATTAGGTGGTATATCGGTGGGTGGAAGATATCATCCTGCACGGGTGCGATATAGCGATAATGTCCGACAGTTAGGCTGCCATCTTCAATTCATCAAAGGGCTCTGAATTCTTGCGAGGTTTCCTACCGGATGGTGTGGAACTGTCTTGGCTAGCTCGACCCAATCGGTCGAGTTAGCCAAGACAGTTTGGCATCATCTCAGTGTTGGTCCATATGAAGGGGGCCAGCTTGTACGGGCCCTGGCTGGTGGGCGTCGTTGTGGGACATTTTTACGGAAAAGTTGCTCGGATTCATCAAAAGCGTGGGTCTCCAGGGGGTGGTCTAGGTGACACACTGGGCGTTTGTGGTGGGGTGCACAATAGATCTTTTAGGTCACGGTGCATCATGGCCCCATTCTACAATCTACAATCATTCTATCCATTTCCATGTAAATTAAGGATAATAAAATCCTGGAAAACTGCGAACTACAATATACATACTAAACTCATCTTGGCTTTTATTGAATGTCTCCAAATACAAGTATGCAATAGATCAAGTTGAAAGTTATCTATATCTTTTTTCTTAATATTACCAATTTCACTGATAACTTTGAACTCTCCCCGATTTTATTTCTCGGGTATATAACCATTGATAACAAAATTCTCTAATATAAGCTAATACCTTAATATTTCTACACATGTTTCGTTCCTTAGTGAAAAAATTAAACAATAAAACATTATAACCATACATATTATACAAAATTATGTTATTTATGGTAATTGTTACCAAACGAGCTCACCAAAATAATTTTATCACAATCACAAAACAAAAAAATAATACAAAAAAATTTCAAATTTTCCATTAGCATTTGCGGTTTTTTTTCGCGTATTTTATATTACTTTCTTTATTCTGTATATCTAGAGGATTAAAAGGAAATTACATTACGTATAATACGAAATATATATAGGAAAAAAAGGAGTAGGCAGATTTTAAAATACGCATATTAATGTACTAAATGAATGCATAAAATACAAAAAAAAAAATAGGAAACAAGAAAAAAAATTTTTTCTAGTCTCTCTTAATGGAAACATTTTGTCGGCGTTCATGGGCTGCGTTTAAATCGTTTTAATGGTTTTTTAGGTTGATTTTATTTTTTCTTTTTTTTGGTTTAAAATGAACAACCATAATTTAGAAAACTCAATGTTATTAAGGACAATTTGAATAAAAACAAAAAAAAAATTCACGAAAATAAAATGAAAATCGTTTAACATATAAATCATAATTTCGAATATTTTAATAACAGGGAAAAAAATTGCATATTTAAACCGTAAATTCCGAGAATATAAAACTTTTTAGCTGAAAAAGAAGCAAACAAACAAATCGCTGAATTAATATTCTCCAAATAGGAAAAATAGTTGCCTTTCTGCATTTAATTTCTTAGTATAATAAGAATCTAGATTTATAATAACCCAAAGCCAACCAGTTAGGCAGTTTTAATCCGGTAGATGGTTTCGGTTGCGTTCGGTCCGGTAGATGGCTAAATTTCAATATTTAAAATTATAATTTTGTGTTTTATTTGCAAGCTACTTAGGAATTTATTTTCTTCTTTTAAAAGGAAAATTTAATAGACATAACTGTGGTTCATGAAATCTTCGTAATATTTCGTAATATTTCGTATTATTCCTATAGAGCAAATGAGTATTATTTATGTTCAATATTATTTAAAATTTCATCTGAAAAAAATTCAACTAATTTCTCTTTTATTTAGTTTTACTGTAAATAAAATTTCATCATTTATATTATTATAAAATAAATTATATATACGAATACATAATGTTTCTATATACGAGTATGTATATTGATTCGATACTCAACATTATTCAAGTGAATATTCTTTATAATAGCTACAATATTTTATATAAGATTGTACGTGAAAAATGTAGATGAATATAGTGAAGAATCAAAATTTCATTACTTTTACAATTTAAATATTGAATTTCTCTTATCTTTTTTTTTCCATATACAAGTTACGGTATAATAAATTTGCCTCTCTTATTATAACTTAATAATAGAAATTCTTAAAATATGAGTAAATTTTTATTAAAGAAATTGGAGGCAATTTAGAATCTCATTATTTTAGTAACTTTCTAATAATAAATAGTAATATATAATTTAAATGTAAAATGGGCAATTATAAATGTTAATGGGCAATTATAAACTTGAAAACGTAAGAATTATATTACACACCCCACCCCACAGATAAATGACATAACACCCACTGAAATTTTTTCTCATTCTGTGAGTAAAAGAGAGTTTAGAATTTTTCCTCTCACTTTTTACCCATTCACTCAATCACCGTATTTCATTGAAATCATAATATTATTGAACAATTTTTCTGTAATACACAATTTATATATAAGTACTCTTATACAGTCCATGCTTTATACTAGGTCTTGATAAAGTTATGTTTTCTAATACCGATATCCTAAAGTTGATCTACATAACCCAAAATAGAATATTCTTGTTTTTTATGAAAAAAAAAAAAAAAT